AAGCTTCATGATATTGAACACAAATGTTGGTCTAATGTTCAAATATGTAAAATGTTTGATAAATAGTATGTTTACACGGAACATTAACACAGTCTTTAATAAAAGGCTCTAGGATGCATTCCATAGTGGGTTAATTTTATTATATTGTTGCTGAAAATGATAAATTGATATGATATCATATAATGATATTATATTGTTCCTGAAAATTTAATTTGAATATGGTGTATCATGTGTAGACGACAATATTGTTTGTGTACCATTACATTTGCGACTAGATAATATCCTGTTCAAAAATTTAAAGTGTAGTAAATTAATTCGTTTGCTTCATGCACTCATTTGTGACACATGATTTGTCTGGGATGTTGCTTTTAAAATAGTGAGGATCTGTGTAGTATTTTAGGGTCTTTTAATGTTGAAAGAGTCAGCTAAAACTATTTACGCCTAAATGCCCCAATTATAATTTTTGAATTTGTAAATTCATTAAAGTGGTTAAGGCGGATGAGCAAGCCTTAGGACCTAACGTTTGGACCAAATCTTGCAAACTTGTTTTTTCCGATAATTTTTTGCTTTATACCGTTATATCTACCAGCCACATTGGCTCCATTATCGTAAGACTGTCCTCGGCATTTTCTAAAATCAATTTGAAGTTCAGTAGTGATAAGAGTTAAATACTAAATCATACTAAATCAGCTATGCTTTCCCCTTACTAATCTTTTAGCACAAGGAAAGTTAAAAATTTATCAGTTGGCAGACCTTCAGGTAACACATATCTAATATTAAGGTCAGTATGAGATGTGTCAGGAGTGGAATCTACTGAAAAGCTAAAATAGCGAGCCTTTTTCCCACTTCCGCTACCATTGTCTTTCACATCATTTTCCATAAGTTGAATAATTTCCTTACATATAGTTTGACAGTTATGAAGGGTGTTCTGAGCCAGTATTGCCTCCATATCGATCTCTTAAAAATGGATCAAATTTCGCCACTAGTTGTAGAAGACCAAAGTAATCGCCGTTTTTGGAGTTCCAAAGCCCCGCTCTGCAGGAGTGCAAATTACAGCGAAACTCGAAAACGTAACGCCAGTGTTGCTGCTCTTTCCTTATTTCTGCCACTAGCTTTGAGGTTAGAGTTTTCGCTTTTCTCTTGTTAAGTACGTTAACATAGTGTTGTGAGAATAACTATCAACGCTACTGAATCGGAATGGCGTTTATTTAACGAACTTTGGAGTAAGAGACGAGCGTAGCGCCTTCGACACGCGTGTCCGGCGTCCAGCGACTGTGCGTCGAGCTGCCTGAAGTCGGGCCGTTGCGGCTGTAGCTGGCGCCCTTTGACTATCATACTACGCATAGCATTCCCATAATTTTCAGAAATTTCATGAGTTTGAATGGTAGCAGGGGTTTGCAATGATTAAACCCTTTAGAAGTTAATGCTGTTGCAGAAGATGCAATATTTGGAATGAGTTTACGAAGCAAAAATCGGGGCATTTTGAGGGGGAGTGCACAAGACATTCTCGGGTATATTTTTTTCTCCGTTGGCTTTTGTTGAATAAAACATTGCTTTTGTACAAAATCTGGACTGATTCTTATATTCTCTTTTAGAATTTAAAATTGTCCATAGTAATACTTAGCGTGGAATGGACCCTTCCCTACCCAATATGATACATAATTGTGCGATAAATTTGTCCACAACCCAACATCTGTTAGTGTGCACATATATTTGACATCACTATCTAAATTTGCAATATCTTGAGCATGGCGTTTCTCATTACGTGTCTGATAAAAGTTCTGAATATTCGCACTATTTTTTGTGGCTCGTTTGTATATTCGTGTTAAGTAAAATGCTCTTGAATTAGTTCTGTATTTTCACTTTGAGTTGGTGCAACGGCTGTCCTGACATACGTGCTGCATTGCTTCCAATTGAGTACTAGTTGGCAATAGTTTGTAAGCAGCAACGAGTTAGACTACACTACCTTTTGTAGTATATTCTAGCTTGTGGGTAAGCAGTAATCGGTGATAGCTTCTTTGCCTCGTACTCTTGTAGCATCTTTTTCTTGCGTTTGCAAGAGCCACTTTCAAATCTTTTGGTCATTCTTAGATTATAATCTAGAACAAAATATTTGAGTTATTAATTATTGAGCATAACTAAAATTTAAATATTTATTATTAATACAAAAACGTATTTAACATTTTACGTATTTGAACTCTGGTAAGTTTTGTTTATCGACATTTTCCATAAAAATATCATTTTTCAAATTATGAATTGAAGTAAAACGAAAATTCATTACCGTGAATAGCGCGTGTCTTATCATTGTTAATAAGATAATTAATGTTAATTTCATAATTTTTGAATTTCAAACAATCAATTTAAAATTATTTCCAAAATATTTTTAATTTGATAATGAAACTAAATTATCATTTTACAATCAAGATTGTATGAAACTGAATTTTGTCTCATTGATAAAATAAAAATTATGAAGTTACGATTATATATAATCATGAAATTAGAAAACAAAGCACGTAATACACATTTTAAAATATATAAATTACATGTATATTAAGAACGTATAATTCCGCAAAATGAAGACATTTATGATTTTATTATTAATTTGTTATTGAAAATAATATTTAGTCGCATTTACAGTACATATGTACTTGATGCAAACAAGTGTTATACGCGAAACATTGTGATTGAAACATAAAATTACATAATTATGTTACGCATTAAATGGAAATAATTAAACTTTTTGGAAATTAAAGTTTAATATTCTGAAAATATACAGATACTTTTTTTAAATTTGCAGAAATTTTCGATGCCCTAAAAGAACATTTGACTTCATGAATATTGTAGAATAGTAAAGCGTCGTCGTTGTTTATGCCAATTAAAAAAAAATGAGCCGTTTTTTGAGAAAATGTGTAAAATTCTTGTAAGCATCTCTATTAATCTAGGTATTTTACCATTACCTTGTTTCTTGATGTATGAATCAGTGTTTTTGGTAAAAATGACTAGCTTAAGAATATGTTTTCAGCAAACACCGATGTCAATAACTACAACACCCGACGTAGTAATCATGTTCATCAGGTGACAATATCAACAGCACTAAAAAAAAAAAAAAAAAAAGCTGCAAGCATACGCTGACAAAGTCCTTTGTTTTGCTTCTGGACATAAATGTAACTCCAAATTCATTTCATCCAATAGCACGCCACTCACGATGTTTACTGTTTTTGACGTAATTAAATTTAAAAAAGTGTTTCTGTAAATGCGAAATTTAAAGCTTTGCGAAGCTTTCTGTAAAAGCTATTTTTCACAGAAAACTTTTCAGTTTTGGAGAAACTTCATTGGAAATCGTTTGAAGCACTTTAACTATCGAATGCATTAATGAATCAAATCGCTGGTATTATAAATATCAAAGGTGTGTGATATTTTAAAACAAATTGTGTAAGTTGTGAAAAAATAGAAAACATTCTGGTTGCATTGATGTCTTGGTTTTTAGTCCATTTAGCACTATCCGTTCACAAAATGTTAGGGAAAAAATGGAGATCTTTTGAGAAAACGGCGTTTCAACCCTTCTGAAAATCCAAAATATTGGGCTTTTTTCGACAGAAAGCTTTTCAGTTTCGAGAAACATTATAAAAGATCATTTGAAGCTCATGTACAATACACTAATATACACAAAGACAGTCAGACGGCCGAGATCGTTACGGTAGCAATGCCGTAGCGGTCTTGGACTAGAAGACCGCAGGTTCGAGTCTCGCCTTGGGCATGAGTGAATTTATGTATGTGTGTGTGTGCCGTCCTTTCACCCATCTTCTTCATCCATACCCCCAGGGCTAGCAACCTGGGGGAATAGAAATCGGGATTTAGCTAAAATGCTGCCCCTCCCCCCCAAATAATGGTACTTGCACCTGCTAAAGCAAGATCCACGCGTTGTGCGAGTTGGCATGAACGCGAAAAAAATACACAAATCGCCATTGATGTAAATATTAATGACCTGAGAGATGACAAAAGATTTTGAAAACAAAACAGAGATATAACAACGGCATGTCTTATAGTACAGTTAGCACCATGCGTGCCAAACTTTAAAGGTAATATTTGTAGGAGTTTTTAAGTAATTATTGTTTTTGATATTTTTTAATAATGCGCGTGTTTAATTAAATATTGCTTGAAAACTACTAACACTTTTGAAAAAATTGTCAATTGTGTAGACGAAGGAATACTGTGAAAAAAATTCAAATTTCTGCAATATTTGAAAGTTTGGAGATAACTGTAAATACTGGACCCAAGCCATATTGGTATTTTTCGTACAGAAAATTAAAATCTTTGGAGCCACTTTAGAGAACTTTGGAAAGGTCCCAGGGGTTTCATGTGAAGTACCTCCCAAAACTAAAGAAATTTATTGAAAATCGCAGAGCCTCGGCTGGGGCCTGATCGACCTGGGAGGATTCAATCTGGAAAAAGTCCTACGCATGGTTTAGGCGCTAGTGTTGTTCACAGACGACAGACTTTTGGAAAAACAAAACACTTCGGTATCGGGAGAACCCAGCACGTGTATTTCCGTGGAAATCGTGAAATAGGTTTTTCGCAGCATTAGCCAACTTCCTCAATGCAGTGTAGATTACTTCCCGTACACCTATGTATACGCGAAAAAAAAACTGTTTTTGAAGAAAACTCGTGTACAATATTTTTAAGAAACGAGTGTTAAGTCGATCTGCTTTTGCTTGATAATGATGCAATTTATGAAGAAGAAAAATTCTGAGACAGACACTTGACATTTTCCCACGGAAAAACAGGCGTCAGAGGGCCTGAGTGGTGTAGCGGTGTAGTACGCGGAGCGTTAACTCTGTGGATCTAAGTTCGAGTCTCCGCGCGGACAAAAATGCTTATTAGAATAACTTTTGCAGGTTTGTGTTGTAGTATAGTATTGCGGAGCTGTTGCAGCTAATGCGATAAAGTGTTTGCTGTTGTATCACCTAGCTTTGTTTTTGTCATGTTTTTCTTTTTTACAGGATGAGTTGGAGCCTGCAATGGCTGTGTTTATTAAGCAAGAAACATCGTGTAGAGATGACGAAAAGGTACGAATAACAATAAACATTCCATTTCGACTTTTAAAATAATCTGTGTGGTTTCAGGTCCTTTCTTTCCACTGATTCCTAGTGCTCTCCCGATTGTGGCAATAAGAAAGTATATTAACATATGTATACTTTTCTAGATCATGTCTCTCTGACATTGTTTGGAAGTATCTGATAGCTCATTATTTCGATCCTACAGCTAACTTCTTCGAAGTGTTTAATTCACAGTTATTGTTAGAAGTGAATTGCAGGGAACAACATCGCATTTCATAGTTTGTTAGCGTGAGGGCTCAATATAGTAACTCTTCTAGGTGAGCCAGTCCTAGAGCAATATAAAATTAAAACTAATGTTGTTAAAGAATGGCATAGACTTTCTGGTATTAGTTTTCTAATTTCTGTGGTCTGGGCTAACGTTTCAGACCCGCCACGTACGGTTACCAGCTGCAATCTATCGCCACTCGAAGTGCATATTTTGATATTTTATCACTTTTTCGGTTACCTAATGGAACCGAAATATTACTTTAAGAATTTTATAGAACAGTAAAAACTCGTTCAGTAAGGAAATTTTCATTGAAATCCTCGGGGCAGTTTCTAAGAAAATGGCGTTTAAAACGTTAATGCAAAATTAGAAATTCTTTTTCATAAAAATATTTTGAGTCTTCCAAAATATTTATTGGGAGTCATTTTCAAGCCTTCCTCTCACAAATGCAATCAAGTATTCAATTTGCTAGAAATCTACATATTAAAGGCATGAGAGAAATTCAAAAAAATTACATTTTTTAATTTTTTGGCAGGCAAAAGATAGCAAAAAACATTTTATATCATCTTAAACAGTGGAATTAGCATTGTCCGTAGGAAAAAGCTGAAGAAAAAATTTGAAGCCAGTTTTTGAGAAAATAAGTCTCAAAATGAAAAAATTTTAGCTCATTTTCACAAAAAACTTTTGAGTTTTCGAAAACCTTATCAAACATAATTTAAAGCAAATGTGTAAATAAAAGTAATAATGCAAAGAAATCGTTGCTAATGTAAATATTAACAACACTCATAAAATCAACCATAGTGAACTTTCTTGAAACGTTTGGCTGGGATAGTGTTTATTGTACGATATAAGATGACCTTAATGCCAGTTTGCTCTATTCTTGTTCTTGCAAAAATTACACATATGTAATTTTTTGGAATTTCTAACGTCAATATTTACTTTACCTGCGATTTTTATAGATAATTACATTTATGAATACATGTGCTTCGAATGATTTTTGTGCAGTTTTTGGAAAAATTAAAATTTTTTTGTGAATGAACCCAAAATTCTGTAGTTTGAGAAACGCCCAAGCTTCATTTTCGCAAAAGTGCCTCCAAATTTGTTCTTCAAACTTTTTGTTCATATTGTGCTAAATGTACGGTATATAAGATGACATAAAAATCAGTATGATGTCTTTTGTTTAAAAAAATACAGAAGAGTAATTTTTTTCAAATATCTGTCCTGATAGTTTACATTTCCGTCATTTTTTTTTTACATTATTACATTTGTGAGTTGAAGTGCTTCAAATGACTTTAATGACTTCCCTGCCATACTCTAACGTTTTCGTTGAAAAAGACTTTCAATTTCGCACTTCCGGTAATGCTTCAACGACAATGATCTCAAAAGCGGCTGTAAATTTTTCAATCGAAGATGTCCATATAGGGCGAGGTTGTACCCTTCTATAAAATACTTTATTAGTATTTCAATTCTAACCATTAAGTAACAAATTTAAGAAAAAGTAAAAATCAAAGTGTTTGGGCGGTGATATATGGCAGCTGCGAAGAGATGGTCAAGAACAAACGTATCCAGACTGAAGAAATTAAAATGTAATAGTACGAGAAAATGTGTATATATTATGTAAATTATGAAGTTCCCCAGTTTCACAAATTAATTGACATAAAACAACTTGAGGTATATCAATAGCCACGTGCAGTACTATCACCTCAGTTTCTATTATTATAAGACAAAATTAATGGAAAGCGTACGCACTTTTAAAAGTGAAAATTTCACTTCAGACTCATAGTTGTCAATGCATTCACGTATGCTTGATCCATAAACACTCTGTATTCTCCAATAAGACATTTGAAACCAATGTTGTTTGTTACCAAATCTCTTAAATAGCGAGGCTCTAGTTGTTTGCTTGCTCATACAATCTAAGGCAGATCAGTTATTTAGTCGTCTCTTCTTGAAATAGTCCGCTCTCGCAGTGAATGGGGCTTTTCATGTCCAATCAGAGCGCAGGATTCGTCGGCGCTCGCGCCTCTAGTTCGAGTCCCGACTGTGGCAGCGGTCGGCTGGTCTGATCGCTAGTTGACCTGCTTTCTCCTGACCATCCTCGTCCGTCCGTGGCCTATCTTCCCGCCTACTCGGACACCAAGTGGCTGCCCCTGCTTGCCCGCCACGTGCGGAGCTGAGAGCGTGGTCCGCGCTGGGGCGGTTAAGAACACCGCCTCCTCCCGAGACTTAAAAAAGGGATCACACCTCAGGAATAATGACCTTGGCAGTTAACACGAGCGTCATGTTGCCGTTGTTGGTGCCGGCAGGCGTTGTACGCTTGCGAGAAATCATTCCTGCTTGAGAGAAGGGCCTCCGACCCTTTCGAGGACGGAGCTCTCTGTTTCGTATTTCGATGCGCCGCTACTCAGTGCAGGCCATTTCAACAAATGCAAAGGACAAACAGTCCCCGTTTTCGTGGATGCTTTAAGTTTCGAAAGGGGTCCTACATTCGTATTTCTTAGAAGGCAACAACACGAACGAAAACAAATTCCACTGTCATCTGCTAACCAAAGTTGGCAAAGATTTTGCATTCATTCCATTTGTATCAGCAGATACTCGATAGTGGTGAAATAAAATTTAAAGATATAATATAAATTTGAATTATTTCAATAACTAATAACGACAAATTATTTCTCTTTGAGATTTGCTTTGTTTTCATGCGTTTTTGTATCTTTACGTAAGTCAGAGTGTCTATTTTAGCTAAAATAAATTCAGGAACGCCCTGGGTCTAGTTATAAATTGTGTACGTTGTAAATGTTAGCAGGATAGTGCAGGAGACAAATCAAATTCATATCTTTTAGGATTTAAAATTAGTAGAGGACAAAACTGTATGTGACCATTATGTAGTCATTTTCAAGTTAGCAAAATCCACAAAATAGAAGTAATTTCATTTTTGAAACGGAATTTTTTTTTCTGTGCCATCGATGACCGATAACCAACTGAATGATAACCAAGAATATCCTTTCAGTGATTGAAGGTGCAGGGATAGAAATGATTAAAGGTTGACATGGATTACTAGAATTAGTCAAAGTTTCAGTTACCCTCCCGAAGGAAGTTTTTAATTTTCATTCTCAAGAATTTACTGCCTGAAGAGATTGTTAATTATTTTCTTGTGTAGGATCCTCTTGCATCGTGCTGTGATGGTGTTTCTATTGCTACAATAAAACAAGAGATCACGTTATGTCTCTCAGGTAAGTGTATGATATATTTTTAATTAATTCGTGAACCTACTAAAGTACTTGGCAAAAATTTCAATTTCAAAGACAAATAACGCAAAACCTACTTTTACCAAAAAAATGTACATAACTTTTTCTAAAGACCTAGTTGTGTTCAACAGTGTTTGATCCAAAAATATTTATCTTTAATTTTGCATTTTTTTTATTGCTTGCTAGACTACTAGACATTTCTTGTCCCAAAGTTCATGTACATTTTGGGAATTAACGAAAGAAGTGGTAACGGACTTCTGTCAGAGCAAAGGAATTGAAAAGGTCTGTCAGTTCTGATTCATCAGAAAACGTGCCTTCCCTTTAGACCTGCCCAATCAATCCTTTTCCTGGAAAATAGTGAAGTAGCTTGTTGACAGTTAATTCAGTTCAATATCTGCAGGTATCTGAGAATTGAATGAAGCTTCATTTTAGGGCACTTACCGGATATTTCCAACATATCTTATTAAACGCGTTTGGGAATGTTTCCCAAGCACTTATTTATCTGATTATTGTTATTATTATCATTATTATTAATATTATTATAGCTTTATTTTATTATTCTTATGGAAGAAAATTTTACAAAAATGCGTTTTTAATGACTACAGCTTACGCAGTAAAGAGAAAGTTAATGCTGCGTAAAAACAGCGAATTGTCGGAACAAAAACTCTTATTACACGGCCCTGGTAACGAAAATGTGGATAAATCTTATGTTTGAAATAAAAAAAAACTCATCTAACACGTGTAGCCAGAATCCGTGTGTTGTGGTGGGACCTAGATACCGAAAAAACAATTGAGGGCAAAACGCCGGCCATTTGTGTCTCCGTGAACAACGCTAGCTGCTAAACCTTTCAGCCGATTTTCTCCAAAATTGATATTCCCCATTCGATCTGGCTGATGTACTGCGCCATGAATTTGAAACCGATATTTTAATTTTGGGCAGTACTTTCCATGAAGCCACTCTGGCATTTTCAAATTCTCAAGAAAATGTCATCGTTTTGATTAATATTTTTTGGACAATGTTAAAAATGTTGAAAAGAATGGTGCAAATCTCGTGATCGTTGAAACCTCCAATTCTTCGAAAATCGTAAAAATTTCATTTTTTCAGTCTTCCAACAATTATTAATATCGAGATTTTTTCACTGAATGAAATCTGCCCCTTAAAGATAGATTTTGAAATAAGGCTATGTACCATTTTTTCGAAAATTGTAGAACTTTTCGCGTAACATTGCGTGAAAGTACGGGCAAGAAAGCTGTTTTAGCCCCACTAGTTGGAATGTTTTTCAATTATATTTAAAACTGTCCGACTACTTTTACTTTCTTGCCTTACGAATTCTTCGTCAGAAGAGAGACTGGTGTAATCGAGCGCCAGAAAAAAACTCATTGCCGGCTTCTAGTGACGAGAAAGTGGATAAATCCTGTTGCTAAATTAAAAAAGCTCTAACTCATGATCTTGTTTTGTTGGTTCTTGATTCACAAAAATCATTTGACGGTAAACGTCTCTGTGCATCCTTCCGTCTGTCCGTCCTTCGGTCTGTCTGACCGTCCTTCGGTCTGTCTGACCGTCCTTCGGTCTGTCTGACCGTCCTTCCGTCTGTCTGACCGTCCTTCCGTCTGTCTGACCGTCCTTCTGTCTGTCTGATCGTCCTTCTATCTGTCTGTCCGTCCGTGTTTGCCGTGAATGGCGACCCGAGTCGGAAGGAATGTGTGACCTGGCAGTTGCGGGACGTGTTTGTTTTCCAACTACTCCTTGTGCGACTTTCTGCTTTGCACTTAGGGATACGTTGTTTACGTACTTTGGGGAACATTCCATGTAGGCTTCACTTGCTTTGGCCTCGGACTCTTCTAGACGGAGCAAACCCACTCCCGATCAATCGGCTCGGGCGAGGTATTGAACAGACCTCCAGGGTGAGCTGTGACATCTCCCCACTATAACTTCGTGTCATCCCCAGTGGGGCGTCCCCTTGTTGGACTCCGTGGTGGGTGGGGAGCACGGGGACGAATCCGCTTCAATTCTATGGAGCATAAAACAAACCCCTGGCCCTCTTCCGCATGGAAGGAACAGGCCATGCTTTGAGACAACGGGGGAATTGAGTAGTTTCTTCCTTAGAAGATAAACCAAAAGCTACGTTTCCTTTTGATTGCGTACACGGAAGAAGGGAAGACATCCAGAAGTATTAGTGCGATTCTGCTCGCGCGAGCCATTGAGGACAGTTTCAGTAAGCTCCAAGCGGTGGTGCGTCAGAGTAATGGTGCCATTCATTCATTTCGAAGTACGCCCCGATGAGTAAATCGAATAAATCTCAAAAACTAGCAGATTGCCGGCCTCCAGGTAGAAGTGACCACTCGCCCTACCCTTAACCTACGTAAGGCAGCGCTGAATCACGATGACTTTGCGCCAGAAAGTGAGGAGGAACTTCTACCATTCTTGAAGAGTTAGGACAGTTTAATCGCCCCTCTCCCAGAGAGGATTAGTTGAAGGTTTTGTAATCTTCACGTGCGGCAGTATGTGCCAACCCCCCCTGCGCTGGCTTCAAATATCAGAGGGTCGGCCATACCCAAGAACAGCGCAATTGGCAGAAAGCCCTGTTTGCGCAAATCCCTGCGCCTCCACATTTCGCTGTGCTGTGAAGACCATGCGGCCAACTCGAACAGGTGCCCTACATATCTGAGGGAGAGGGAGATCCAAAACATCAGACTGACGGAGAAAGTGTTTTCCTGAAGCGAAACGCCGATACCTAGTGAAGAACCCTGCAGATCTCGTTCATTTTCTAGTACTCTGGCCAAGACGGCAAAAGCAAGAGTGAGTTGTGGGACTTCACTTGCTCATTTCTGTTGTCAGGTGTCTTTAGTGGTCCTCTCTGAGAAGACATCGCCTCTGCAAGGTGAGAAGATAATAATTCCCTCCATATCGAAATTACCCGAGAAGCCACGCAGACGAAGTCGGACCTGGACTCCACTTCTCAGCCCCGCATGAAGTCCGATGTGTCTCGGCCTTCTGGCCCAGACACACTTCAAAACGATCGATCCTTCAAACACCGACCACCTACCCCGACTCTTGAGCCTTACTCTGAGCGATCTTAGCCCGTCGAGCCCGGCCCAGGAGGAAACTTCAGCAGGAGTGGACAGTCGCCCCTTCAGGCAGCAGAGGCCTAAAAGGAAGAAGAGGAAGAAAGAATCCCCTTAGAAGCAAATAAACTGAGCATCTAAAAGTTATGCCTCTCCTCTCGTGGAACCTCAGTGGCTTTAGACGATTTAAAGCTGATGTCTATGCTATGCACCCGTTGTTATCTGCCTGCAGGAAACATTTTTTCCCTATGCATTCCCTTTCTTCGTGGCTTTTGTTACACTTGTTTACGTGGTCGTTACACTTGTCACAGACTCCCGGGTGTCCAAAGAAATAGATCTACAAACTACTCTTCAGACATCTTACTTTTGTGTGAACTTCCGCACTGTATCTATAACTATTTGCAACGTCTATATCCCGCCTGGAGACGTCTGTCGCAAGAGCAACATGAAGATATGTTATCTCAGTTGCCGGCTCCTTTTCTTATTGGGAGATCAGGGGCGCAGATAGAGAATGTCTCTTCTGCCTGAATAGGACTACCATCCGCCTATCTCAGATCATTGGTGTATTGTTAATGGATGGGCGTCCCTTCGGCCATTGAATGCCGCTTGGCGAGGATCGGGCGCCGCCACTTTTGCCACGGCCATCGCCTGCGCCTTGCTAGCTCTCCAGCACAGGATCTTCATCTTTTCTCCGCAAGGTTTTTAGCTTCCATCGAGAGTCTCACATTCATGGCATTATCTGAGAGAAGAGGTTCTCTTGGTTTTTGACTGGTGACAGTAAAGTATTTATCTGGCGCTTTTCTGCCAAACCTTTTTTTTTAAATGTGTATACACACACACATATACATTACATACATAAATAGTATATATAATTTAACACGTTTATCTCAAGTATTACTACAATTTTACTTTGCATGAAAAATGTTTTATTCTGGCACTCCTACGGTGTGTACTGCTCTTCCAAAAATTTGACACGGGCGTCAATGATCTTGGCAGTTGAAGCGCCCTTACACATTAATCATCGTCATCGAGTTTGGTCTCAGCATTTCGCGGAGAAGGGCCACTATCTCGGCGGTGGCTCAGTGATAATTATTTGTCACGCTTCTCTGTTGCCTTTAACGAGCAAACATTATTTGCGCTGCTGAATTATATGCCTGCCGAACTGCGATCGTTTTGTGCCCAAAGGATTTTTATTTTCTTAATTTTTCTCTGCGTAACACTACAGCTGAAACACGAAGCTCTTGTGACTATTATAGGAGTACAGGGGTCCTCTGTGCGACCCCGGTGGCCGAGGTTGGTAAAATAATGCGAATTGTCTCAGTGCTTCGGTGGCAAGGTCGGGGCTTGTTGGAGCCTCGCGCAGGAACAGTTATTTGTCGCCGACGAAACTATTGAAAATTGCTGAAACTTAATTGAAAATCTTTTGAAGCACATGTACTGCAAATTAGGAAAGATATTACACTGGGAGGAAGACTGTTGAAAGCAAAGGGGAATAGAAGAAAATCTTGATGGGCGCGGTCGAGGCGAGCGGCAGAGGGAACGAACCCGCCTCAAGCAGGGGAATGAAGCTGCCGAGCGAGCGGGAGGAGGGGGGGAGGCACGGCGGCGGACGCGGATTGGGAAGCGAAGTAGGAATATCAGGTTAACAACATCATGTAAATTGGCGATTAGGACAGGACTGGGATAATGAACGATGAATATTAGCGGCAGTGTCGTGAAGTCAGTGAAAAAATAGTACGGGACGTAGACACGTGTGTCGGAAGGAAGGAACACAGTGTGCGATGAAGCTGTTTGAACAAAGGGAACGACCAGTAGACAAGGATATGTGGTGTCGTGCGAGGCGGGGAGGGAGGCTTGGGGCTGCTGCGACCGTCGCGGCGCGTCGAGGCCCCCCCGGCCCCCCACCCCGGCCGACCTCGTTTGAACGCGTCGCACAGCGCGGAAGCCGGGACTGGAAGGATCTTCAGACGCACATTTTGTTTATATTGCAATTCATGGAGTGGAACTTTGTTTCTATATTACAAATTTAATCGCGGGATGTGGAAAGCCAAAATGTATTTCAATATGTTAATTGGCGGGGGCCCACTCTGTCCACCCTCAAATCCGGAACCGCCGTCGTGTGGTCGAAGGGTGCGCTGGCGACTGCTTTTCTCTTCCACTGAGGACACAATTGCGTGATACGACACGCGCGTAATCCACTAGAGGCAGAGTATTCTCGTATGCAGTCCAAGCCAGCCAAGTGTTAGAAGAGACTCGCGTCTAAAATTGCTTGATGTAGAAGGATTTCCTCGTGAAGTTTCAACGTATTCAAATTCAAAGTGTAACAAAGGAGACTATTGTAAATAAATTAATGGAAGGCATGTACTTTCTTTCGGAAAGACCACCCCCAGATTGAGATGGTAGCAATTGGGAGTTTTTTATGTAATTGTTTTTAAGAATTTCAAATTTTTTAGTCTTCTCGATACCACGTAGATTATTGTGGCAGTTACAACAGTCCAAATTTGTGTGTTCCTTTTTCCTTTTGTATATGTGATTTTAAAACTTCCTTTGTAGAGAAAATTTTAGAGAAATATTTTTTGACAAATAAATGTAAACTATTGTATTAAGCAATCACCTCTAGCACAATAATCAAACGTTTTCTTATCTCTCCATAACATCTTACAATTTCGCAGATTGAGGTGCGCAAGGAAAGCGCCTGACGAGCTGAAATGGCTCAGGGCGACGACCGTTGCCTCATCACCGGTGTGAAAACAAACATGTTTCATACGTAAATTTATTGAAGAGGATGTTTCTAGCACTGATTTTCGTGTTCTTGTTTTTACGTTTCCAATGTTGTTTTTTTTGTTTTGATCAATAAAACATTCCCATAATTCTTCTAATAGTTGAAATTCAAAAGAAATGCCTTGTGTGTTACTTGGCGTTAGGATAAAACGAAATTTGTTTGTTGTACGTGCATGGAGACACGAGAGGGACCCGGAGGCCCTGTCTATTCGTTGGGTGAGAGGTGGCCCTTTTCTCCCTTTCCCTTCTGCGGCGCACTGAGCAAGTTCTGGCCCCTTGCGACGACCCTCGCCGACCAGCCTCCTGGCTCAGTTTGCCAACTACTTAGTTGTGTTAAACCTGAATTACAACTTAATGAAGACTGCCACAATTAAAATGCTATTTTCCTAGTTCATATAAATGTATAAAATCTTTAATTATACCATTAATATATTTTTGAGCTTTCAATTCTTAGAAACAAATTAGCAAATAAATAGTAAAATCGTGGCCGAACACAATACAGGAATGATACAAACACAAACCTTGCTGGGTTTTTACCCTTTTAATTCAAATCTGCACCTTCATAATTACTGGAATGGTTCTCGCCATAAGAAGAGTGCCGAGCTTCACCAACGTTCTTGAATTCTAATCCTCGATCTGCTGGCTCCTATACTTCCTACGGGCTACAATACTTCCTATAAATATATCAAAACTAACTTTAATTAATCTGAGACCTAATAATGTTTATCGTAATAACAAAACATATACATCGCAAGTTGATTGAAACCAATCAAACAATTTTAGAGATCGATCTTGGTATCAATGGTATAACGTTTTTGGGCCGGGTCAGTGTTGGCCCGCGGACCAGAGTTTTCATCCCTGCCAGAGGCGGTGTTTTGGATAGCCCATGCGCTCCACTGCTTGAGTCATTCGAGTAAAATCTTTAGTAGTTATTATTTGGAAACCATTTTCTCTATCTCAAAAATATAGGTAGAATTATATAGGATTCTCTTCTTCAAATTCATATTTAATAACAGGATATCACGACATTCCAAAATATTTCTGAATATTACAACTTTTTCATTCATTTATCTTTCTACGTAATTGCAAAACTAAACTACTAATTCAAAAGGTTTCTTTCATATCATTTGGAGCAGTGCGCCCTGTTTCCCGTTCTAGACTATAGCACTCGTATTTCATATTTTTTATGTGAACGAATGTTAAGCATCAAACGTTTGTAGTTGCTAGTCTGTCTTTGAACTTGTCTGATAAAAATGTATTTTGTTGGTAGATGAAAGGAGTTTTGCATCCGAGAAAACCAAATTTCAAACACAACAGAGCCAAAGTACAGACTTGGATTGCATCCCTAAGAGCAACTTCAGCAACTATGAGCGGACCACGGACTACAAGGACGCGCTCCCAAACACGCAAATCGACAGGGGAAAACGTTTTGAGTGTTCCAATTGCCATAAGATTTTTAGTAGAAAGGTAACGTTGCATGGACACGATCGCACTTACACTAGCGAGACACCTTCCCACTGTTCAGTATGTGAGAAGACCTTCAATGAAAAAGGTACTTTGGATACGCACATGCTCACCCAGACTGGTGAGAAACCTTTCCAGTGTTCCATCTGTGGGACGATGTTCACTCGTAATTATACGTTGGGTATTCACATGCACACCCACACTGGTGAGAAACCTTTCCAGTGTTCTATCTGTGAGAAGACCTTCACTCAACAAGGAACGCTGAATAGGCACATGCGCACGCACACTGGTGAGAAACGTTTCCAATGTTCCATCTGTGCGAAGACCTTCAGTCTAAAAGTAAACTTGGATAGGCACGTGCGCACCCACACTGGTGAGAAACCTTTCCAGTGTTCCATTTGTGAGAAGACCTTCAGTGAGAAAGGATCCTTGGATAAGCACAAGCGCACCCACACTGGTGAGAAACCTTACCATTGTTCCATCTGTGAGAAGACTTTCACACGAAAAGGATACTTAGTTACGCACATACGCACCCACACTGGTGAGCAACCTTTCCCATGTTCCATCTGCGAGAAGACCTTCACTCAACAAGGAACGCTAAATAGGCATATGGGCACGCATACTAGTGAGAAACGTTTCCAATGTTCTATCTGTGAGAAGACCTTCAATGAGAAAACACAATTGGTTATTCACATTCGCACCCACACAGGTGAGAAACCTCTCAAATGTTCCATCTGTGAGAAGACCTTCACTCAACACGGATCGCTGAATAGGCACATGCGCACGCACACTGGTGAGAAACCTTTCCAGTGTTCCATCTGTGCGAAGACCTTCAGTCAACAAGAAACCCTGAAGCGGCACATGCCCACTCACATTGGTAAGAAACCTTTCCTGTATTCCATATGTTAGAAGACCCTCACTTAAAAAAAAAAACTCTCCCACACCAGTGAGAAACCTTTCCAGTGTTTCATTTGTGGGAAGACCTTCAATGAAAAACGAGCCTTGGATAAGCAAATTCCCATCCACACCAGCAAGAAACCTTTCCAGTGTTCCATCTGTGAGAAGACTTTCACTTGAAAAGGAACCCTGAATAGGTACATGCGCGCTCGCACTGGTGATAAAGCATTTCAGGTTCTAATCTAAGACGACTCACTATATCGGACCATTCAGTATATCGACTTCAGATGAACACTAAATCATTTAATTGGTGATTTGAACACGGGCATTTTGAGGAATTTTTAATTGTTTATTTTTATATGACCATTTTTTATGAATTTGATTGTATCTGGAACTACCTGAAGTACCCGGCATTGCCCGAGCATTTGTTACAGTAAATTATTATCCAGGAAGAGGAATTCATTTATTCGTGCCCTGGGGCGCGGCCTACTCTATCCCATTGCATTCCTCTTCTGCCTTGCGCGCCCAACTAGCCCTGTCATGGCTTGCCTGATATTCAAGCATTTGCTATCTACTTCGCTCGCATTCGTACTAAACAAAGTTACATTTTTCTTTTTTGGAGATTAGTTACCTAACATGTCACTTTATTACCCAAAACAATGATCAAATCTTAACTACCAAACGAATTACTAGTAAAAGCATGTTTTAGTGAAGTTTTATATATTATAGCAATTCTTTCAATAAATTGCAACATTGTAAAACTAACTCTTTTTTCCTTTCTCGCTTTAGAGAGTATGCGATGAATGGCGAATTTGAGGCAGAAAAACTTACTACAGGGCCCTGGCAACGAAAAAGTAGATAAATCCAATGTCAAATTTAGAAAAAAGTTCTAACACGTAGTCCTTGATACCGAAAAATTGATGGTAAAACGCCTGTCCGTTTGAACAACGCTAGCGGCTAAAACGTTCAGCAGATATTCTCCAAAATTGATTTTCCCTAATCAATCTGGGTGTTATCGCGGCCCCATTAAGTTCACACCGATATTTTAATTTGGGGGAGTATTTGGCTTAAAGACCCCGGGGCATTTTGAATTTTTTCAATAAAATGGCGCCATTGTTTTCTTTTTTAAACTTTTGTGGCTGGATGTGTAAAGGACGTTTATGAGAATGGTACATTTCTCATTTTCGTTGGAAACTGATTTTTGAAAAGTGAAAAAAAGTTCGTTGTCTTCCTACAAATACATTATAAAGATACAATTTTTATTAATAAAATGTGTTCATCAGAAGTGTCTTCAAATTAGGTGATGTTGAAATTTTTATTTTTTGACAAATGTGTTTTGTTTTTTTTACTTGGCGACAGCTTCATGAACGTAAAATGAAAGGTAACGGCTACGCACTTCGGTGCTACGTAAGTTGGAATTTGTGTATTATTTCGTATTTCATTTTATAATTATCGTTTATTATATTTATATTTTATTTAACTGTGTCGTTTAATTGTGTTAAATGTGAATTGGATTTGCTTAATAAGATGTGGGAATGAAGAGTAATGCATGTAAAACCAAGTAATTTAGATAAAATTTAGATTGATTTAATATATAAATATGTTTCTATCAGATTTCATTTTCTTGGTAGCGACATCAACAATGCTAATTTGCAAATTGTGTTTCACAAGAATTAGCGGCCATTGTTGCTTGTAACGCAGAGTCATAACGCCGCACTGATGGCTCTTTCGTTCGCGTTAATATTACTTATTCTATTATTTATTACAATATTTTAGTGTTCAATAGTTACTATTATTTATTTTGCAATCTATTTGCATTTGTTCGCAAATGCTATCTGTATCTTAGTATTAATTATTTTACTTTCTCGCATACTGCTTACGCAGAATATTTTAAAGCTAACTAACTCATCGGATATGTTCATGTAAACACTGTATACATTACATTTGATTTAAAGATCACAGTACATTTTCATTCAAAGTTTTAAAATAAGTTATTTCTTGACACTATTTAATTTTCGCGCCAAGTTTCTACCATTTGAAATGAGCGTAACCAAAAAGATGACGCACCGGCACGACCGGGAGGCCCCGCGCAAGAGGCGGCAGCACCCTCTCTGGGCGGCAGTGTGAACCACGTGTAGAGGAGAGCGTTACTAAAAGCAGTATGTATCAACTTTTCTTTGGGGTTAAATGAGAAAAACTTAATTATTTAATGTTTTCTTTTCGTTCGTTTCTGTACATTTGTCATCGTATAGCATGGGAATAAATGTATTATTTCGAGTTTACTGATGAAGTGGTAGATTTCAATATAAAGATCAGGTTTTAATAGAACTTAAAAAAACAATAATAAAATAAAATAAAATACAAACTTCAACACTGTAAATGTGTTTTTGGGTTTTGTTACGAGGGATCACGAAAACGTGCGCTTAAAGTAGTCCAAAGAACGTGCACAACCCAGAAGACAGTCCTGTATGGTGTGTTCATTCTGTCGACTACTTTCCGTGCACGTTTTCTTGAGTCCTCATTTCACTAGATGCGACACGAGACGGGAGTTAGTTTATTTTAACGACCGGGCTCTTATATCAAATCTTTAGCATGTGTTTCGATAAAAAATTGTTCCAATTCGACGATAGCGAATATGATTATCAAAAGATGTCAATAACGCTTGTTGTTCTCTCTTCTTATTTATTCGACTAATGATGGTCAAGAAGAGGAGGTAGGGATTCCAGTGGTCAAGGAAACTTGCGCGTGTAATACCAAAAAATAAATAAAAGTACAACTCCTTCTTCCGTCATGTACCTCTTAAAATCGAAAACAATAGAGAATACCGCAGCAAAGAGCGAAAGCAGTCGATTGTAAATTTATAAAGCAGTAAGAAGGAAGTATTTGGTTTTCTTTGTTTATTCACACATAGTTTGAATATTAAAAATAGAATTTTGATATCGAAAAAGAAGAAAACTTACTAATGACTGTCTATCATAGTTATGATACGAGTATGTAAAATGTAGTTTATTTTGCGAGAAAGACATGTTGCAACACGAGGCCGAAAAGCGAGTAGCGCAATCCTACGATAAAAATAAAACTAATTTTACCAAGTGTCTACAATATTTTTTAGTCAGCATTACTAACCAGGTTCTTTTTTAAATGCAACTATCACTAATTATGTAAATGTTACATTAACTCTAGGTTACAAAACGCTCTGCACCAAGCGCTATTACACAGGCGTAGTCTAGCAGACTACTTTAGGTAAAAATAAAGACAAGCTCATTTTTACAATGAAACGCTAAATTTAATGGATTGAAAATGTATGATTAGTAGTTATAAAGTACATTCTAAGGGTTTTATAGATACCCCTAAATGACTTGACACACACACCAGACACTTGCTTAGTGCTGTGCAGTCATGGCTTCTGAGAAATCATCCGTAGAAATATATCGTCATCGTCCCATTATGGTTGCTAAATGTTCAGAATAAAACTTAAATGCAACAATACAAATGCAAACTTAAATGCAACAATACGTGTATTTCACTGGTTAGTCACACACAGAAGCTACACAGACTTTGAAAAACCGGGAGTGAGGGGAAAAGTGAGGGGTAATTGCGGTACTAGTTACGACGCCCTTTTAATCTAGGATTACGAACATTTGTACATGACCTGACGAAAGTGTCTAGTTTTTATCTGAACACTTGAGCATCGTCTCACTTTTTGCATGCTGTGCATCTAAGTTAAACTAAATGGTTTTACTAATGGATGTCTCAAGTATTATTTGTTCAAATGCATGAAGTTCGTTATCGAAAACCCCAATATACTCATTTTCTTGCATTCTTCCACATTTTTTCCAAATGTTATCCGCCATTTTGATTTTTTCGTTTTTTACATCATATTCGCAGTTAGTGAAGTTGAAAACCCCAATATAATCCTTAATACAGACATTGTTTCGCATTTTGCCAGAGATATAGAATTTTCACCACGTTTTAGGCGTTGCAGCCCACTGCGCGGCGGCTTGGTTGCCGGTGCGGCGGGGCAGCCGCACAGGAAGCGGAAACGGCGCCAAACGCATTTTTAAGCGTTTTTCGGATTTCTTTTTTTTTGGGGGGGGGGAGGGAATAAAAACAAATTTTATAATCGAACGACGATTTATTTAATTGTTTAACCTTCAAATATTTAATTACATTACCACAGAATCAGAACTTTCATCATGTGTTTCTTTTCCTTCTCCAACAAGTGTATTTTTACTTGAAGGCATTGACACTAGTGTAACTACCAGGTTAAATGCTTTTGTGACATTTTTTCTCTATTCCATTTCTAAAATCGGTGGGTCAGATGCAATTAAGTCTGCGAAGCACTTCCTTGATAGTTTGCTCTTTAGATATTTTTTCGGTATTATATCTTTTTCGCCATTTCAAAAAAAAACTGGAAGGTGGTGCCACAATTCTGGCTTCAGATTCGGATTCAGCGTGTCGACATACATAGAGAAACATTTGTCAAGTCTTTGGGTCTTATACCAACACCGAAAAACAAAAATAAGTAACGGTGTTTTTTTGCCGTTTACAAGAAATTTGAGGGTGATGGGACCATTCTGGGTTCAGATTCGGATTCAGCACGTTGAAGTACATACAGAAACAGGTGACAAGTACTTGGTTCTGTGTCTGTCTTTGAGTGCGCCTGCCTAATTACTTCCTTTTCGGGGAATTTTTTCTTCTAGGTTGCACTTTTTCTTCCGTTTTTTTTTCATTGTTTTTAATAACATCATCCAAATCCCTCCTTGTTAATAAAGAGCTCTCATGTACCATATCATGAAGGGAAAAAAATGAATATTGTAGGTAGAAGGGCTAACAAAACTAGTGTAAAAAAGGTGTGCAACATTATAAACAAAGTATCTTAACGCAAAATGGGGCAAACATGGGTAAACTTTCATTAGTTTTAAAAAGATTAATTCCAAAATCAGATTCAGTTACTACCATAGCCCGGAAATGGAACTTAAAGACTATGAAAAAATGGATTTACACATATCATTCCGTTGTGATACGTGAAGTTTCTACCTGGAATTACTAAATTATTATTTAAGGAATATGTTTTTTTAGAAATACAGATTCAAAGTACACATCTTCAGCTATCGTATCCATAACACGTGCAATTGTGCCACCCGAAGGGAGCAAAAGTATTTGCCAGCGCCACCACTTGCGCTAGTAGTTCCAACGTGCAGCGCGCGGAGTGGGTGATTCCGCATTCCTTCGCAGGGCGGGGAGTGCTGCAGGAGATATTTTGTTCCCTCTTTGGCGGGAAATGGCGCTTCTGAAGCGGATTTGGGTTTGGGCGTTTCGTCAATGTTCTCCTCCTCTGCGCCACTGCGCTCCCTCCACCCCCTGACGCCGTCTTCCGGCCCCTTTCTCTGCTTCTCTCTCTTCTCATGGCGTCGTCCCGTCTCGTCTGCAGGGGAAAAAACAAACAAACTAGAACGCTTCATGAGACGTCAGATTTACACGAAGGCGTACGCCATGGGAACCCATCCCCTCTCGATCATGTTTTTGTCTAGTTTCCCTGATCCATTGAGCAAATGCTGAGATGGTCCCTGTTTTGCTTCTGGTCGTAAAAGTAGCATCACTATGCATTTTGTTGAACTCTCCTTTTGCTTGTAATGGTAAGAGTAGAAGTAAGGGCGAGTTACTATTTTGTTAGCAATGCAGAAAAATCATACGTTCAATTCGCGTACCGATGCAAATAAGTTTTCTATAACTCAGAAACGAAAATGACTCTTTATCCAATATTGCTAATCATACGATTTTTAATTTTTATTTATGTTAAACTTTTCCTCATCTTTCAACTATTTATAGTTAAAATGACGGGAAGGGATTCTGAAACTCAAAAAAACGTTCGCAGTTAATCTTTTCTCCCATACGTCACATTCAGTTTTTACTGAGTTTTTTTCTGACTAAAAAAGTTTAATCTAAACTATTACTTCGATACGGAAAACAAAGTTATTTGATATGAAATCTATCCCTATTACTATCACACGGTTTAACGCAGCATTTTCGACCCACCTTTGAAACTTTTAAATTTATATCACACTGGAATAAAGGTTTTACTACGAAGAGATCATCTGCTATCCATGCTGTCAATGGGAACCATTTTGCCCAAAATATACCCACTTAGAACGCAGCGCTTAAATTTGAGTACTTGCATCAAATAAACTTCAGTTCTAGACTTAGAGTGAATACATCTATATTTCTTACACTGCAGTATTATCTAATAAAAACAATTGTACCAAAAGAGCAAGTGAAATCTAAATTATTAAAAAGAGATGCAACATGTCAATATCAACTTTGCCGAAGATGTCAATACAAGAACTTCCCACATACACTGGCGGTATATTTATTTAATGTAATAAATTATTTGGTACTAATGTAACATGTACCCAATTAGTGATAGATGCATTTAAAAAAGAACCATGTCAGTAATGCTGACTAAAAAATATTGTAGACACTTGGTAAAATTAGTTTTATTTTTATCGTAGGATTGCGCTACTCGCTTTTCGGCCTCGTGTTGCAACATGTCTTTCTCGCAAAATAAACTACATTTTACATACTCGTATCATAACTATGATAGACAGTCATTAGTAAGTTTTCTTCTTTTTCGATATCAAAATTCTATTTTTAATATTCAAACTATGTGTGAATAAACAAAGAAAACCAAATGCTTCCTTCTTACTGCTTTATAAATTTACAATCGACTGCTTTCGCTCTTTGCTGCGGTATTCTCTATTGTTTTCGATTTTAAGAGGTACATGACGGAAGAAGGAGTTGTATTTTTATTTATTTTTTGGTATTACACGCGCAAGTTTCCTTGACCACTGGAATCCCTACCTCCTCTTCTTGACCATCATTAGGCGAATGAATAAGAAGAGAGAACAACAAGCGTTATTGACATCTTTTGATAATCAGATTCGCTATCGTCGAATTGGAACAATTTTTTATCGAAACACATGCTAAAGATTTGATTTTATTTTTATTTTTTGAAGATTTGTATTTTATTTTATTTTATTATTGTTTTTTAAGTTCTATGAAAACCTGATCTTTATATTGAAATCTACCACTTCATCAGTAAACTCGAAATAATACATTTATTCCCATGCTATACGATGACAAATGTACAGAAACGAACGAAAAGAAAACATTAAATAATTAAGTTTTTCTCATTTAACCCCAAAGAAAAGTTGATACATACTGCTTTTAGTAACGCTCTCCTCTACACGTGGTTCACACTGCCGCCCAGAGAGTGTGCTGCCGCCTCTTGCGCAGGGCCTCCCGGGCGCGCTGGTGGCGGCGGTGCGTACTGCGTCTGCCCGCGGCCGCGGCCGCGGCCGCGGCCGTGGCCGTTCGTGGTCGGTTCAAGGCCGGGTAACGATCGGTGCTGCTCCGCGCTGCGAATTTTCGCAGAGCGAGTTGGGACGGGGAAGCGGCGTCGTGCATTTGTTCTCCGCTGCGCCGCCATGCTGCCTTCCAGCGATCCGTCGTGACGTCTTGACTTGACCTCTAGAGGGGGAAATCCTAGGAGGAAAATATTGGTCCTCGCAGATCCAGCAGTTGCGGGAGAGAAACTGCCAAGGTGAGTAGATAATGCAAGTGTTATCATTTTACACGCTTTTTTCCGAGTTCTTCTCTGTTGTGCCGATGAGCTTCGCTTGAACACCAACATCGGGTTACCATACTTCAATAGTGGGAAAAGAGGACACTTCATACAAACTGTTTTTATATAAAAAAAAATATTTTTCTCAAAGACAAAATACTACTAACAAAATAAATACATTGACATCATCACTTTCATACAATAGGCCTATTTCATTATCATTTCTGTATTTTATACCAGAAGTATTAGATGGTTGAGATCTCCCCTAACAATTAAAACTTTGCTTTGAACCTTACAATAATCGCTTTGAACTTTTAAGTATGTCATTAAACAAGACTTTTATTTTGGTCATCATGCTATAATTTCCACAGAGCAGTATTAACACCACAGAGCACACAAGGTATAAACAGCACCATCGTACAATGCGTTGTACAATGTGTCGTACGAGGTGATGACAAGAATGTCGCATTTCATGGAGCAAAAGACGTACATGTTGATATACATGCATTGTTGATTTATGCATTTTAGCGGTTGTTAGGCGAAATAGTGGAGGTTAAATGTCATATATTTATACAATGGAAAGCATGATGACGGATCAAAAATGTTGAAAAAATGCAGTATTCTTCGTGCATCATACGTCTAGTTTTCATTTTAAAATGGTGCCTCCTTTCCTATATATATAAAAGAGGTAATTTTGTCCTTTCTTGTAAAGTCCTCCCGGGTTTTTCTTTTTTTTTTTTTGCTTCAAGAGTAGGGCGTGTCCGGAAAAGAGGCCCTACTCCAACAGGTGTCCGTGTTTTTCCCCGTTCTCCTCAATTGCATTCCACGACTAAAACACGAATTACAGAGCGTTCATGGCAGTGAACGATTATAATGACAGCTTCTATAATAGATGAGCATCGCCTAAGACCACATCGCTCTACGCTAAATCTTCTTCCGGCAATCTGCTGAGTTGCATTCACAGCTGGCCGCGCTTGACTGAATTTTGTTGTTAAATGTAATTTTGATCGCGTGGATGTCGGAAACAGTTTTCACGAGAGATTCATTTAATTCCGTATCATTAATGATGAAAAATTATATTAAGTGATTCAAAACATTTCGAAATACTGTTGAGAACATGTGTGATTGAATTAAGTCATCAGATACGAGAATGAATGGAATACACTGCAAAGCTCCCACGTAGGCCTTGTAAAAAAACTATCGGAATTCTGCCGGTACTTTTCGTTCTTGCATGTTCAGAAGATTCAAATTAATGTGTGCTGTATAATATTTGCAGTTATGATATCTGGTATTTATAATTACAATTTCATTTTCACGTTGCTCATCTTATGACTGACAGCCAGTATATCAATTATTGATCAGTGGCTTACAGATATGGTTAGTTAATTGTGAATTCTTTGTAATAATACTTAAATACTATAATTTGTTCAGTGATTGACTGATAAAACAAAGCTTAATTGACATGTATAATTAACATAAAACTACCATTAATTTGAATTTGCCTTATTTTACGTGGCGAGACTCGAGCCATCAGGCCCGCTCTTCCGTCTGACCACGCAAATTTCGCTACGCTCCTTTCACCAACTAGGAGAGAAAGAAGGTATTTCTTGGGCGAGAAACAGGCGATTTGAATTTAGCTCAGAGGCGTCATTTAGGCTTGAGGATCTTTTACATGCAAGTAAATCTACGAACATGGGTCAGCCGGCTTTACTTCCCCTCCGAAGGAGTTGGGTTTGAACCCGCCAACTTGGGTACAACAGTCTAGTACGCTAACCGTTACACCATCGCCATCGCTTTACACCATCGCCACCGCTATTTTCTTTTCATAATTCTGGGTTCTCCTGATTGTACAATCGTGGAAAATGTTAACACTACATTCAAAGATTTCTGTGCGAAAAAGGGAACAAGTTAGTAGATATTCTCGAGTACTGTTTAGCAGAATTCTCAGTTAATTCAATTGATCAGTAATTTCAGGTAAATTACTTAAATATGCAAATCAAGTCGGTTTTTAAAAGTAAGATGAAAAATGGGTTAAAAACTGCTATAAATTATTGTACTCACCTGTCATTCAAAGGATATTAAATAATATATTCAAATTAACGAAAGATGAATGGTTTTTCATGATCACTGTGCAAGTGTTAGCCTTAGAAATGAAAATTGAAATATTTCATACCTTCAATAACTTTATTACATAATATAAAAGTCAATTAGAAATTAGGAGACAGGTAACTTAAAAAAGCAAACGAATAAGTGAAAAAATAATTCCCTTTATTTGCATGATTATTTATTTGAAGGATACAACACTTCCACCGAATCCATTTGAAGTTCAATAAATTTTATCCAATTAGATAAATTAAAGTCAAACTATGCAAAATTAAAATGATTGTCCTAAGTCCTTTTAAAAAATATTCACAACCTACTATTACATCTCTAGCCTCAACCTACCACATTTGCCAGGGTGAGGAGTAAACATTTTGAAATAAAAATTATACATTCGAATTTTTACCAAGAGGATTAAACAATGAACAATGTACATATTGTATCTTCTTATATGACAATAATTTATTGGTTATCAAAGCTGTCCTAACAGCCGTATTTGATAATTTTAATAATGTATTGCATTAAGATGTACAATACGAGAAACTAACATACTGCTCAAAATATAAAACTTTTCTTTTCATTAAATCTGCATTTCTAACTCTTTTTTATTAAAAGAACTAATTTTTCTATTACTTGAAGTTAATTTTTGATGAGTAGTGAATGTTATTAAAATATATTTCCAACCCATTCATTCACAATCAAACCTTTACTTCACATACTTTCATTCACACATTTTACATACCTGATTCATAAACATAAAAAATGAACTTCATATAACTGAAAAACCTCTTTCTTTTAATAAAAAATTAAAATTATACAATAATTACTAAGAAGAATTCACAAAGGAAGTTAACATGTGCAGACATAATGAAGTGTCTAGTTATATCTTCTGAGAAGTACACCTTAAAAAAACACCTACCCATACGGAGGGCAAAAAGCTACATTACTTCTGGGAAGCAAGCAAAGGTGTATTTATTTCAATAAGCCTAGATCAGCTTAAAAACAATAAAGATTCACTATTTCACCTGGAATGTAACCACTTACTTGCCCTCGATGGAATTATACAAACTGTTAATTCTGCACCTGAGAAGAACAAGAGTTATGTCAAATCTTTTTTCAAAGCTATAAAATATACTAACCATGTAACCACTAAACATGTAAATATACTGACCATATCTCTTAAGTAGAGACACCAAAGCCCAGGCATGGGAACAGCACGAGAAACGTTATCATCAGAGTCATCCTGAATATTTACTATGACAGAAATCCCTGAAGCATCCTGCCTTCTACTTTCCAATCTTCTATAATTTTCTCTATGTATGTCATATAATTCTTCCAACTGAAGCAATGTTCAGAATAAATAAGTACTTTATATTAACAAATTTCTAATCTACAACATATCTGCACCCACATCAACAGATATGATTTTTCAAATCATGAAAACGCTGGTAATCACACTGTATCAAAATCATGCAAAAAATAAAACTGCCTTACTCTATGATTAATTCAACAAAACTTATGCTTAAGAGTACCTTTTCTGAACAACTACTTCAGAAGTTTTCAAAAGACTATTAAAGGTATGCTCAGGTCTTAACGGTATGTAGTGCTGAGATAGAAAATGCTGCAGGTCACTCTTCCTCCATTTTCATGAAGGCCTTTTCACTTTCTAAAACATTGGAAATTACCAAAGGATGTTTAAATATTTCAGTTATATTCAAAGACAACATGCATTTCTTTTCATTCTCTTTATAAATACATATAAAACATTCTACTGGCAAACGTGATGTTCTCTAAGAAAAATTGTATTACTGATATAACTAAAATTATTGAACACCATTGAATGTAATAAACCTTCTATTCCACTCTTTTAAGTGAAACATCTATTTTCACCACTGAGTAGTTTTAATACTCGTTTTATAATCGGATATTTTTATAAATGAATAAATGTATTATTTGAGTGAATATTTTTCACATTTCTAGAAAACAATTGATGAAACGTCACTCACCAGCACAGATTGAACATGTGCTTTGTCCATTACAATAACTGATGGTTCTGCTAATCAAGGTAATAATTCTTCTTTCTTCCACTTTTGGAACATCTCTGCTGTCATAGTTCTATGATATTCATCTACTTCTCTGGTCTTTGATGGAAACAATAGTTCTGCATCTACAATGAAACCATTTGCACCTCATGCATGTAAGACTATATATCTTTTACCTTCAACTAAATTTTTGCTTGGGCAACTTTCATTTTTATCTTGCCATGACTGAGAGGCATTACCTAAAGGATAGATTGTTAAAAACAATTAGTAAAGATCTACTGAAATAAAATCGTATTGAACCCTATGTAGGTGCTTCAAACTTGACAGACGATATTTACCATACACATAAGTCATTACACACACTGCTATTTCTCAAAAGATGCATTTCATTACAATGAAATCATGCCTTCTTCATTCACTTATATCTAGAATTTCATAATTTTCAACACTACAAAATTTAGTAGATTTTTTGCTTGCCAAAAAATAAAACCACGTTTCATCCAAAACCACAAATTAATAACCTTCAGCGTTGTTTCATATATTCCATCAAAAAGTCAGATCATTCAATAACTATTATCATTTCTTTCCATGCAAATATAAATAAATTACTTACTATTCTCGTATATTGAATAAATAATCCTCCCGCACATGTTTTGTTCCCTTCTATTCCCGAACACTCCTTTCTGGAGTCTGAGCAGTATCGGGGTCTTGCTTCCAATATTTGTAAAATTAAATTCAACATTGTCCAAAACAATTTTACCTTACACTTTTATTATAATTTTACTTTCTTTTGAACAATGTGAGTATTCAGCCTCAATTCATAGGCAGTTTTGTCAA